ACAGTTTAATAATTGAAATGAAATAACATAATAATAATAATAATAATAACAACAACAACAGAATGTACAAAGCAAGTCATGCATGATGCAATTGCTCACCACCCGCCAACTGATGCCCAGTCAGTCCCCGAGCAGTGGCCCCCTGGCCAGCTTTCCCTTAGCTTCATATACTGAGCGTGACGTCATATGGTATGGAATATCCCGTTGGCCAGTTTGGGTCAGCTGTCCTGGCTGTGCCCCCTCCCAGCTTCTTCTGCATCTCCTGCCTTCTCAGTCGGCAGAGCATGGGAAGCTGAAAAGTGCTTAACTATGTAAGCACTACTTAGCAACAACTAAAACATCGACTATTCTCATACAAAATCCAAAACACAGCACTATACCAGCTCCTAGGAAGAAAATTAACTCTATCCCAGCTGAAACCAGGACAAAATCCCAAATTATTTTAGTTAGTGCAGAACAGGGGAGAGAAGGGTTAATTTATTACTGTACAAGTTTGGGGGTTTTTTTTCTTGATAATTCACTGTAGATTCTTACACATTCCGGGCCATAAATAAATGGAGAGAAATAAAAGGATTTTCCCCTTTTCAGGATTTATTAAGTTGGAAACTTAATACACTCATCATGTGTTCCAATAACTGCAAGCTTTCCAGTTTGTACTGTCAGAGAAGATCACAAACTGAATTAAATTGGCATTGATTTTGAAATATATCTGTTGATGAGAATCTTAGGTCTGTAAGTCTCTTTTGCATTTATGTGTTTGCCTCAGAGACCTCAGTGAAACATGCCAAATTCACATTTGCCAGAGGATTCCCATACAGATGGGGAAGTGTTATGATTAATAGCAAAAAGAAAAAATAATTATTTATAGGAATTAGGCTTTAGTCATCAATACAAGTTAATATATTCCTTCCCCGGAATTTGATCTCATTTGAAAAAATAACCATCTGCAAGAATTTGAGGACTGAAGATGCACTAGAGGGAAATTGGTCTCATAGGGTGCTCCAAGGCTTGTGAATGGGGAGTTGAAGTGGACGGCAGGCTACGGAGAAGAGAAACACCTGAGCGGGGTGTCCTGGAGAAGTGGGGAGAGGACCACGCTGTTGTAAAACCCACCTGGGAACGGTGTGCGGGAAAGGGAATTGGACTCTGGCAGGGTCACGGCCCCGATGGCCAAATCGACCCTTTGAGCTGCTGATGAAACGTTGGCCATCGCCACCTCTTGGGAGGCGCGTTCCTGGGGATCAGAGGAAATAAGCTGCTGGGGGTCCGGAGCCAGGCTCGCCAAGCTGTACTCGTTCTTGCGGCACGCTCAGAAAACGTTTTCTAAAATGCCTGGCTGTCTCCGTGTGTAATTAATCCCCTGGGGAGCCCTTAATTGCCAAGACAACCATGGTCTCCCAGTATTACAGTATTTCCCTTCTGTCTTCACTTCATACCCTTCTTCCAGTAGTCTGTCTGGTATAAAAGAGAGCAAACTTGTCTCCCTTTGAAAAGCTCTGATTAGTGCTTGACCTGGCAACCCTTGCTCCCCTTTGCCCAGTGCGTGGGTGAGGCACTGACAGACCTTTCCTAGATACAACTTTTAATTATTTTTAATAAACCTGTCTTTTCCCTACCTGAATTTGACAGGGATGCTCTACCCATACCAGCCAGTACTTACTGAGCAAATTCCATTACTAACAGTATTTCCACCTCTTTCACAAAAGTTGTCAGGAAAATGAAGTGAAATAGGATGGCAGATGTCAGTCATTGTAACGTGTGTAGTGCCAATGCTCGTCTCCAGACCGCTGCCTGTGATGGCTTAGGGTGGCTCTTCTGGAGTCGTCTGTCCCTGTCCATATCGGAGGAAACATGAATTACCAGTGAGGACTGGATGTGTGTTTTTAAGGCTGCCATGCTTCGGAAAGGTGAATCTAAGTGACTCCCCTTGTAAGCACACAAGAAGTCTGTTGCAAAGTAAATACTGAGCCCAGGTCAGCCGCGCATCTCTTCTTCCTTCCTCCTTTAATCATCTTCTTTGGATGTATAGACCTGTGTCTGCGTGACTTTTTTAACGCTGCTGTCACAGGACTTGCACTTACCGAAGACTATGTGCCAAAGCGAGCGCAGAAATGTGTCTAGACCCTGCGTTAAAAGATGCATGAGGAACTCAGAAATAGAGTCCCCTTTATAATAATTGAGATTTTTTGTTTGGTTTGGTGATGTTGTTTGGGGAGGGTGGTTTTTTTGTTTTGGGCTTTTTGGGACAAGAAGAAAAAAGTATTTCTTCTCCCAGATTTTTCATTGATTGTGGCATTGTCAATGCTATTTTTTTTCAGCTCCCAAGTTGAGGGCTTGATTTTTTTTGACACATTTGTAATGTCTTGCAAGGCTGCAAGTTTTATTCAGTGCTTGTTATCAGGTAGAATTTTTCTGCTTAGGTTTAAATTGGATGTCACTGGATTTTATACAGGATGGTCTCTTACTTTAGTGGATTCTTACTAATAGAACGGTTCTGCCTGAAATGGGAGGAAAATGACCACTTGATTACGTTACTTTCTCACATGAAGCAAGCCAAAAGCGTTTCTTTTATTTCACAAACTTTCTTAGAGATTCTGTAGTTGGGATGAAGTATTTAAATACTCATCTGAAACAAGAAAGGTAATTCTGAGAGTTACCTGCTTGCTTTGCAAGTTATTGAAAATAGCAATGTATTTCCAAGTGAGGTGCAATTGCAGGTTTCAGGTGGATCTGTCTTTATTCTCCTTCAGTAATTGGACACATCGTCTTCTTCTTTCCTTCTTTTACTTCCTTCTTCTTCTGGGTATGTGTTGTCTTCTAGTAATTTCTATGTTAACACTTAACTCTATCTGCTCTTGTATTATGCTAGTTTACTGAAAAGAAGAAGCTAGAAGTGGAGAATATTAGTGGAGTTTGAGCTACGGAAAAACACATAAAAGAGTCTGGCTGTTTTTTCTGCTCACATTTTTTGTAGATGCCTCCTAACCCGGTCTGACAGCTTTACAAACTCCAGTGATTTTGCTACGTGATTTTATGCAAACAGCTGCTGGAGTGATGGAGGTCCGATAATAAGCATAAAAATTAAACCATTTCTTGCAGGATCTGCATCCTTGTGTTGTGTCAGCTGATTTTGAGATGTCCAGAATATGAATAATTCCCGGTCTGCTTTCCAGTGTACATGTGCAGCTCAATGGGAGAGGATTGTTGAATCCAGGTTACAATTCATTGACTTGCACGTTCAGCCCGGAAAGTGGATCTGAGTGCATGCCTTCTCACCCCGAGCGGTTTCTGAACGTGCTGTTGCAGATGCCGGGTTACTTATGCCTCCAACACGGAAAGCCTCTGCAAAATGCACCCACTGCTGGGGAGTTCAGTTCGCTGGGAGTTGCTGGGGCAAGACCTGTTTTTAGCAAAAGAATGAGCCAAAAGAGTTACAGGCTTCAGTGTGCAATTCTAGCAACAGTCTTTGAAACTTTATGATTGGAGGGATAAATTATCTGTAGCAAGAGGTGACCTCTTCATCCTCTTGATAACGGTATATAATAAGTTGGTGCTTTTAAAGTGCTGAGGCTATTTAGTGTCTCCTTGATGAGTGCGTGTGGTGCAGGCTCTTATGTCATTTAGCCAGTTTTGAAAATTGTATCCATAGTATCTCTCTGTTCCTCCAAACTGTGTTTGAATTTACCACTGTAGATTCATTCAGAAATTATTTTTTAACATTTATCATGGTGGAAAACTTGTCTATTCAAAGCCTCTCTAAAGAATAAAAATAGTTGCTAATAAGCATGGTCAGAACTTTACATCTCTTCAAGAGTGACAAAGCGACTGAAGACAATAGGTTTAAAAATACTGTTACAACAGCCTTAGCCTTTCAAGGTCCGAGTCATGTACCATAATTAATGAGGAGGAGAACTGGGAGCAGAGTGTTGGCTTAGTGCAGCTAATTTTTAGC